AAAGTTCATGAATATATTTTTGTACATACAAAATGATAAAGTAATTAAATGTCTTGAGGGTAGGAAGTGAATTTAAAAAAATATTGAAACATACACTGCAATGTTATGTATGTGTAGGACATGTGGTACCAAACCAGTGATATTGTCCTTCAAATTATCTTGCAAAACAATATCATAATATGAAAACACTGTAATTAGTTGGTTTATTACAATTACTCCCACACCAACAACTACTACTTTACCACAAGGTAAAGCACCACTGTGTGGAATTTATTAAAATTTAGAGTATGTGTTGGTACATCATGATTATTCTTTATTCACAGGCAGAGATGGGGCCCAGCACACAAAGATTCTCGTGGAAACACCTATGATGTGGGCCGATGCACAGCTCTACTGCAGGGAGTACCACACAGACCTGCTCAGTGTGAGGAACCAGGCTGAGAACCAGGAAATCCAGATCATGGTGCCGACAGGAAAGCTGGCATGGATCGGCCTGTTTGGAGACTCTTGGAAGTGGTCTGATGGGAGTATCTCCACATTCAGATACCAGGGTCTGAAACCCCAACAACGTAGGAGAGGGTCCGAACTGTGCTTACATTGACAGAAAATGGAGCGTAAGATCCTGCAACACCAAATCTAGTTTCTTTGCCAATGTAAGTGTTTACGAGTTTATGCTTTAAATTACTCCTTAAGCAAAACATGAATTAGTTGATTTACAAAAAGTTTCAAGTAAAATTTCAAAACCTTTGCTTATTGAAACTTCCAATGTGAGGATTTACTGCTTTTCTGTGTTTTGCATCGTTATTAAGTAAATGCTTTTGGTTGGTTGAAAAATGTAATTGACATTTTTCAATGTAAGTTCTTTTTGTAAACTAAATTATTTAGTTAATTGAAAAAAATATTGCTAACAGTTAAAATCATAAGTAGTTGCAGCTCTACTGCAAATTTAAAAAGTTTATTAGAAAGTATTTTTTTTCTTTCAGTACCAGTCTATTATTCTTTGTTATTCTTTTGTTGCTGCTTACCCAGAATTCATGCTTGATGAAAAATATGATTTTCTAGAGTAAATTAACATATTTGAAAGTAAAACCACTTTTTTACCCTTGTGAAATGGATTAAATTTGCCAGGCATTCAGCATTTTACTGTTCACATTTTCGAAAAATGTATTTAATTTTTTCAAAGTGCATTGAAATGAACCTGAACCTGCTTGGGGGATGGAAAATTATTCCTAAAACTCAGTTTATGATTAAAAAAATGTCATCAATAAACTGAACCATGCTAAAAAATGGTATGGTAAAATATTACATAACATAACAGCTATCACATCAGCAACCATTTTCAGACTTTAAGAAGAGATCTGTCGTGAAGATCAGCACTGACTTTGACATGAGTGACCCGGTCATCCAACAACAAATCTTAAAGCAGGTGAGAAAGAGAAATTTTAATGGGATATTGTGTCATATGTACCTTCGTAAAGTCTATCACTGTGAAAGGGCATGGCGTGGAAGGTAAAACTTCTTCATCATAACATTTTATGTATAGGAATTCCAAATTCTGATATTAGACCCCTGTAACAGTGTTAGTAGTTATGATGAAGCAATTAGTAATTAATAGTTTGTAAGAGCCATATCTATTAATATCCAAGTTGCTCATTATTAAAGTTATTAGAAATGTAAAGACAGATTTTTTTGAATGCTTCCTAGCTGGAGGCAAAGATGAAAAGCAAGGGGATCAGTGACTTCAAAATCCGCTGGAAGACGTCAGGACGAGTTTCACGCAAGACTGAAGACAACACAGTAAGACTTTAATGTCATGTTTACTTCCTTTCTTTTTGTTATAGTAATTTTTTCTACACTTTTTAAAAAGATAATAAAATTAGTGAAAACAAAGTCAAGGCAATGGCTAACATAATCATATTTTCATCTTTATAGCAAATCCAGTTTGGACCAAATAAGTACACACAAGTCAAAACAAAGGAGGTACTGTAAACTAATTTCTGAATTTTAATATAATTTAGAATTTAAATTTCTAGTTTTCTTGGTCTTTGTCTTGATTTAAAAACATTATACTTAATGTTTGTGAAGTTGGTGTCCTTGTTTCATGTGCTGTTTTCTCACTTTTTCTCTTTACTTTTTCACCTTTTTTTTTAAAGTGCTTTGTAACTTTTACTATATGAGAAGTTCTGCATGATTAGAGTTTGTTTATTTACTGACCAGGTTAAAGCCAGAACACTGGCCCACTGTTTCTGTTGTTTCTGCTGACTTGATACCAAGTCATATTCAATTTATTTGACTTGTGCAAGTTTTGGCATAGCAGTAAAAGATGTAAAGGGAAATATGTTCATAAGCAGGGAAGTGTAAAAGTACACACATACATACTCACTGTGTATTTAATGTATTTTCCATGTAAATATACAATGTAGGAATATATCTAATAATAATTCACCTTATTATCTTGTGGTGTTGTTCCCAATCTTTCGATTGACATAATAACACAACCATGTGTTAGTCTTTGACTCTCAGTACCACCAACAATATGGTCAAAGGCTCAAAAGGTGTATTCTGTGCTTTTCTACATGTTTACCTGTAGAGGGAGTCAGACTATAGAGTGTGTGTGCTGTCTTTTCTCCAACAGGTGTGTGACAGGAGGGAGCTGAATCAAGAGTCCTGCCACTCTGACTGGGCTGAAGCTGAACAATGTGGACCAGTGGACTGTGTGTACTGGATGGTAAAAACAGGAAAGCTGATAAAGATGAAAATGTATTTGTAAATAAACGCTGTTTTTTACCCCCTTCTTTTTAATTTACTCACTGTAACTGTATACAAGGTTTCTTTAAAGTAAAGTAAACTCTGGCTGTGTGCTAACATTTCATTTTTAACTGAGCCACATTAATCTTACTCAGTCAATTATGACTAAATTAAGGAAGGTTGAAGCTGTCATTTTTTGCATTCAAAGAAATTGTGTGAGAAAACAAATCTTTCCGCTAAAGGTCCACTATGGAAGCAGCAGCTGATGCACATAAAATGAATACTTATGTTGTACATTATGGAAAACAGGCTAATTTACTTCTTGCTGAGAGTCAGAATATGATTCTTTCACTCTCCTGTTTGTACAATAATTAAGAAGCTGTAGCCAGCAGCCAGTTAGCTTAGCTCTGTCTGGTAACGCACAGCATTTTTTGACTATTTGACTTGGAAATATTTCTGAAAAGATGCATTTTAAGGTTTAAAATATGTATTGGTTTGCTTATGAAAATGTTATAATACTGAGTGTAAATAAAAATGAAACTACAAATGTACACACAACAATTATAATTGTTTGCTGTGTCTCATCTCACTTCTTAGGACAAATTGCTTGCATTATTATTATTAGTAGTAGTTTCAAACCACTGTGTGTGATACCAGTTTTTGTTCAACTTGTCTATGTTTTACATTGATTGCTGTAAATCCTGCATTGAAAAACTGCTATACAAATATTATCATCATTATTACTATATTTAATTCTTGGAAATGTCAGTAGTGTGAGGGTAGGATAGCATAAGTGTACACAATTATTAACAGCAATAAAGCAATACACAAACACTGATTTTGAGGGTTTACTGTCAGATATAATTTGATTAAAAAATCTAAATATCAGGTGGGGAGATTTGTCATTTCGATGCTCTGCCTCTCCTTATCACATAAATCTTCCATCCCAGCTTGTGTGGAGGTGAGTTGTGATCAACGAAAGACTTAGCTACCTGTGCCTCGAGTTTACTGCTATTAGCCAAAAGACAAAATATAGTCAACTAGTATCTGGCTAACATGCATAATGAGCTACTAGCTAATGTAATAAGTTGGCTAAAGTTCAGCTTAGGCAATATCATGGCCATACAGGCTGTACATGTACATACTTGTACCTAATGGAGACACTACAGGTGAGTACAGTAAAATGTAGCCTATGTCATCACAATCGACACATTGATATGGAAATTAGGTTAACTAATTAAAATGCGCAAATTTGAAGAACTTACGCAGTTAATTACTGACATGTTACGTTCAAATATGCAAATTAAATTTACATTTAGCTGATGCTTTTATCCAAAGTGTCTTACAATTGCTATACATGTCGGAGGTCGCACGCCTCTGGAGCAACTAGGGGTTCAGTGTCTTGCTCAGGGACACATGGTGGATGTCTCACAGTGGGAATTGAACCCAGGTCTCCCACACCAAAGGCAAGCATCTTATCCATGCGCCATCACTGTAAAGCTGTCAGTCCAAAAGGTGTTGACAGGTCTTTAAATATATGGACTAACACTTCAGAACAACTAAAGTTAATATTTTCTGATGTCACAACCCAAAAAGATTGGGAACCACTGGTTTTGTCTTGTGGTGATATGTACATTGTATTTTACTATCCTATCATGTTTCTCCAATCACTCTTTTTTCACTGATCATAACCTGTATTGAGGTGATATTGATACATTTTCCAGGCCACAAGACAAAAAGTTTCACAACCACTGCTTACTAACACATTAGCATCACCGACAACAGAATTGACTTTCATCCTGTTATTGTGCAAGAGTAGATATTTACCTTAAATTTCCATACAATTTCCCTTCCTGCAAACCACTATATGAGGAGGATGTACTGTTTGCATGCATGTCCCTCTATTTTGAAAGTATGTCATTTTAAAGCCATCTAAAGGAACCTTTTGTGGAAAAAGTGTTTCTTACTGTTAATCTCATGCATGACCCCTGCTTGCTTTGCAGAAGAAAGATCTGAAATTCACTTTTGCTGCTGTTTCCCTGTATGTCTCCTTAGGTCAGCAGGATGACATGACAACATATGTTTATTACTCAAGAGGAACAAGCTTGGTGGACAGTTAAAAGCTTTGCAGAAGTAACCACACTGACATAGCAATGAGGTGATTAATTCAGAGATAGATGACAGTTTAGTCAGGAACCAGGAAATGTGGATCGGTCTGTTCAATGATGCCTGGATGTGGTCGGATGGACAAGAAACATCCTTCAGGTACTGGCTGAGCGGCATGAGCGGCACACAGAATTTGGGAAACTGTGCTTCTGTTGCAGTGTCTCAGCATGGATGCTGGGTTGAAGCTCCTTGTAACAAGAAGTCCACGTTTGTCTCTAAGGGCGGTGAGTTACTGAATTCCTTGTATATGCCACCAATTTATTAGACTTTAGCAGTGAGGAAATAGGTGAGTTAAGCCCACACTCACTATATGATCGTGCACCTTAGAGACTTTGCCATGGATTGAACGGATTCAGAGGACAACACCAGAGATAAGGAATTTTTTGTGATTTTAATTTCAGGGAATTTTTCTGACTTTTGTTCTCTTTCATCTAGGATTTTTTTTCTCGGTTTATTAACCCCCACCCTGGCTCTGTATTTTTTTGGACACGTAAAATAGTCAATCTAAATATGTGAATACACTTGGGATAATTCAAGTGTAGCCTACACACGGGCTACATCTAAGAAACTGTCCCGTTAATTACTTAAGATCTCCCTAAAATCACTGAAGCTGCTGGGCTCGCTGAATGAAAATAATGCTGTGTTAAGAATAACTTCACTTCAGCTGCAACCGCAGTGGAACAAGTCAGGATGATCTTAAAATATGTATCTAGTGCATGCATTAATATCCTACTTCTCATCATTGACACTGAGTTCAGATGTGGTGTGTAGTCCATGTTTACAGGGTAACCTCGAGTTAATCACAAACAAAACCTGCAGTTTTGGAGCAGTTTAGAGATGCAGCGTAAATTGCCATGGCAACAGACCTTGGTAAACACCTATCCACCTTTCGTAGTACGGGTTAATCAGGAAGATACACACCAGACGTCATGAAGTTACTCCTGAAGTTACCTGGATAAACCAGTTACCTCACGTCGTAGTACAGGCCAGTGCTCTCCAGTACAATAAGAGAACTATTGAAAAGCGATGTAAATAAGCACTACCTTTCTTAAAGCGGCTATAATAAATAATTTTATATTAACAATGGATCATATAACCATTTTAATGAGAAAGAAGAATTATCACCCAACTTTGTAGTGTGCTCTGTGGATCTTTATAGTGTCTTTCAGGTTCACTCCCACTGCTCTCATCAGCGTCTAGCAGGCAGCAGTTTTAGGCAAAAAAACAAATAATCCTGATACTCAGCACCAAACAAAAGACAGAAAAAGTTAGTGACTAGCGTGGTGGAGCATTTGGCAGCTAAAGAGTCAGATATTTCCCTCAGGAGTTGGTGTGAGGGCATTCCCACAATGGTACCGTTTTCTACGAGAATGTGACTTTGTGTGTGTGTGAGCAAGTCTGATAGCTGTTTCAAATGTATCAGAAATGTTGATGAAAAATTTGATGTTTTAGGGGCAGTAGGAAGCACTTCCTATGATGCACTGAGCTCCTCTCTCCTCTACTTTCTCTCCCTCTGTATGCAACCTCATCCCATTATTGCATGTTACTAACACAACTCCTCCCCTTTCCAGTAGTCTTGTGCTTTCTCGTCCCTCTCCTCTCTCCTCCTTTCACTTCCTGCAGGTTTTCTGGCTCTGGAGCTGTGGAGTCTGGATCTGTGGCTGCGGGTCACCTGCTGCCCCCATGTTCCTGCTCAACACCCTCTGCTGCAACGACTATTGTTACTAGTCCTATTATTATTATTGTTATTATAATAATTAACATTACGACTGTTACCATTAACACTACTATAAATATCTGTACGATTTTTCATCTAGTCTATAGCAAAATCACCTTTACTGTCTGTACCTCTGTGTGTGTATATTGTGCAGGATGCCTCCCTCTCTCTCTCCTTCCATCCCTCTCTTTTTCTCTTTGTTCCTCTCCTGCCCTCTCTCTCTCTCTCTCTCTCTCTCTCTCTCTCTCCTTCACCCCAACCGGTCGAGGCAGATGGCCGCCCACCCTGAGCCATGGTTCTGCTCGAGGTTTCTGCCTCTTAAAAGGAAGTTTTTCCTTGCCTCTGTCGCCT